AGGGAAGAGAGAGACGGCCTAGAGCGGCAGAGGCCGGTGAGGAGTAGCGGGCAACGACAGCAGTGTACAGTGCCTGTGCAGTCTTGTGCTGCCCAAAGTGCTCGCGCTCATCTATCGGCAGAGACTTGCGAATAGCGAAGCGAGTATGGGCGTCACGAGTCTGCCACTGTGAGCGGGCAGTGCTGTCAGCAGTAGCAGCAGGAGAAGTAGCGTGGCCTAAGGCATGATCGTACAGCGAGATGTCTTCCTTGGCAGTGAGCTGTAGGAAGAGGTGTAGGTCATCAAGCCGGGTGTCGAACTTCACTGGGCGGCCCTCAGCATCGAAGGCTAGCACAGGAGGGCTAGCCATGGTAGCAGCAGTAGGAAAAGCAGTAGGAGCAGTAGGGTAGGTAGGGCGGCGCGGCTCGGTACAGGTAGGGCGGCGCGGCTCGGTATAGGTAGGGCGGCGCGGCTCGGGTCGGGCGGCGCGGCTCAGTTCGGGCAGCTCGGGTCGGGCGGCGCGGCTCGGTTCGGGCGGCTCGGTTCGGGCGGCTCGGGTCGGTTAGGGCTGGCGGCTCGGGTCGGTTAGGGCTGGCGGCTCGGGTCGGGCGGCTCGGTTCCGTTGGGGCTGGGCGGCTCTGGTCGGCTCGGGGCCGCTAAGGGAGAGCGCGGGGAGCGGGTGGGGCCGTGAGGGACGAGCGCGTGGCCGACGTGGGTGCTAAGGGCGAGCGCGGGGCCTATCGGGGCCGTGAGGGACGAGCGCGGGGCCGTAAGGGACGAGCGCGGGGCCGACGTGGGCCTCTAAGGGCGAGCGCGGGGCCTATCGGGGCCGTGAGGGACGAGCGCGGGGCCGATCGGGGCCGGAAGGGACGAGCGCGGGGCCAACGCGGGCCTCTAGGGGTAAGCGCGAGGCCGATTCGGGGCCGTTAAGGACGAGCGCGGGGCCGACGCGGGCCTCTAGGGGTAAGCGCGGGGCCGATTCAGGGCCTCTAAAAGCAAGCGCGGGGTCGACTGAGGCCTCTAGGTGCGAGAGCGTGGGGCCGACGGGGCCTCTAGGGGCGTGAAAGCCGAGGCGCCCTAGGGCGCAGGTAGGTAGGTAGGTAGTGGTGGGCCCTAAAAAAATCGGTCCTAGGAAGGACCTGCTCTATACCATGTTGAACAAGAATGAATGAACTAACAGTGAAATGAGTACAAGTAAGAAAAACTAGGAATGTGTACCCCCTATAGGCTAACCCATTGTAGCCTAAACAACTACAACAACATATATAATGTTTGACACCAAGAGCCGCAAGTGTAGTCCTCAGTGTGTCGTGCCACTCACGAGGCGCCTGGCGGAGACCGTAGACTGGCCGCCGGAGGGTTAGGTGGACGGCGCAGCCAGATCTCCTCGTGCAGGCTGCCCTGTAGGAAAGCAGTGTTGAAGTCAAGCGAGTGGAGCTCGTAGTCACGCTGAGCGGCGACGTGCAGCAGAACCCGAAGAGTGGTCATCTTCGGGGTCGGGGAGAAGGTCTGGAAGAAGTCAACTCCCTCTCGCTGACTGAAGCCTCGTGCAACGTAACGCGCCTTGAAGACAGGCGGAGAGCCCGGCGGCCGCTTCACCCTGAAAATCCACATGCCACTGACGATGTTCGCCCCAGGTGGGGGAACCTCGTCGACGTAGGTGCTTGTGGACTTCCAGGAAGCCATCCCTGTGTCCATGGCCGACTGCCACTGAGAGAAGTAGGGACCGGCCATCGCCTCTGCGTAAGAGCGTGGGGTCGGGATGTCTTGTGCATCCGGGTCTCCCTCAGGGGCAACAAGCATGGACACGAGATGGGGCAAAGCGGCAGCAAAGCACTCAAACTCCTCCTGCCTGTCCTCAAGGACGTCAGTGCCAAGAGCACACTCACCCCCGACGGACGGAGGACAGACAGGCTCAGACTCAGCAACAAGACTAGCGGCGTAGTCTAGACGACAGGTGCTGAGCGTGTGGGTGCTGCGCCTGGGGTTGCTGAGCCTGCGGGTGCTACTACTAGGGCTGCTGAGCCTGGGGGTGCTGCGAATGGGGGTGCTGAGCCTGGGGGTGCTGAGCCTGGGGGTGCTACGCCTGGGGGTCCTGAGCCTGGGGGTTCTACGCCTGGAGGTGCTGAGCCTGGAGGTGCGGAGCCTGAGGGGGTTGGGCCTACTCGTGTGGCGTCTGGCGGTGCTGGGCCTGGAGGTTCTCCGGGTACTTCGTCTCGACGGGATCCTCTCTCTCCACAGGAGCTGCGTGAGTGGTTTGCCCGGCGCTGGAGGCGTGCTGCTGGAGCTGGAGGTTCTCCGACTTCTGAGGGTGCTGGTGCCGCGGATCCCGTAGGTGCTCGTTCTGGGAGTACTGGAGCTGCTGGGCCTGCGGGTGCGACTGGAGCTGGAGCTGCTGAGGGTGTTGGTGCTGAGGCTACTGCTGTCGGTCCTGGAGGCGGTCCTGCTGGGGGTACTACTGGTGCTGCTGGAGGTTCTGGAGCTGGAGGTGCTCCTGGCGCTGGTGCTGCCGCTGGGGGTGCTGGTGCTGTCCCTGCTGTGTCTGGAGTCGCCGCGCGGCCTCGGCCGTACTTCGCTCCGCTCCTTCAGCAGGTTCTTGGTCTCCCGCCTTCTACTGGTCCTTCTCCTCACTTAGAGTGTCCACAGCCTGTCCCGTCACAGTTACAGCTGGCCTCCCCGCTACCTGCTCCTTCTCCCTACACTGGTCCTACCGGAGGTCTTGCTGAGCGTCGTGAGCCAGCGTCTCGCCCTGTGTCGCCTGTCCGCCCTGCTCGCACTAGTGGTCGTGGTTCGCGTCAGCGTCCTCCTCCTGTCCCTGGCACGCACCGGATGTCTCTGCGTCCGTCCACTGCCCCTCTGCGTGCCCCTTTGCCTTCTCCTCCTGAGTCCTCTCTTCCTACTCTTGCCGACTCGGAGTCGGACTCTCTTCGTGCTGCCAGTCCTACTGTCACGCGTCTCCTTGCTACTGTCATCACTGACCCTTCCTTTGAGTCCACTGCTGCGTCTGCCCTAGTTACTGAGCTCGTCGACTTTGCTGCTCGCTGTCGTCTAGACAACGTTGCTAGTCTTGTCGCTGAGTCTGAGTCTGTCTGTCCTCCGTCCGTCGGGGGTGAGTGTGCCCTGGGCACGGACGTCCTTGAGGACAGGCAGGAGGAGTTCTATTGTCTGGCTGCTGCTTCACCTCATCTCGTGTCCGTACTGCTTACCCCTGAGGGAGACCCAGATGCATTTGACATCCCGACTCCGCACTCTTACGCGGAGGCGATAGAGGATCCCTACTCCTCTCAGTGGCAGGCAGCTATGGATGCAGAGATGGCTTCCTAGAAGTCCACAGGCACCTACGTTGACGCTGTTCCCCCGCCTGGGGCGAACATCGTCATTGGCATGTGGATTTTCGGAGTGAAGCGGCCGCCGGGTTCTCCGCGTGTCTTCAAGGCGCGCTACGTGGCTCGTGGCTTCAGTCAGCGGCAGGGAGTTGACTACTTTCAGACCTTCTCTCCCACCCCGAAGATGACCACTCTTCGGGTACTGCTGCACATAGCTGCTCACCGTGACTACGAGCTGCACTCTCTTGACTTCAGCACTGCTTTCTTGCAGGGCAGCCTGCACGAGGAGATCTGGCTGCGTCGCCCACCTGGCTTCACTGGGTCTTTTCCTCCTGGCACCCAGTGGAGCCTCCGGCGGCCAGTCTACGGTCTCCGCCAGGCACCGCGTGAGTGGCACGACACACTGAGGACTACACTTGCTGCTCTTGGGTTTGCTCCTTCTACTGCCGACCCGTCGCTGTTTCTGCGCACCGACTCTTCTTTGCCGCTGTTCTACATCCTCGTGTACGTTGACGACTTGATCTTTGCCACAGCTGACACTGCTGGACTCGCCCACGTGAAGTCGGAGCTGCAGAAGAGACACACGTGCACAGACCTGGGTGAACTGCGCAGCTACCTTGGCTTGCAGATCACCCGGGACAGAGCACGCCGCACCATTACCCTGACTCAGTCACACATGGTGCAGCAGGTCCTTCAGCGCTTCGGCTTCACGTACTCCTTGCCTCAGGCCACTCCTCTGCCTACTCGCCACTCGCTCTCAGCTCTGCCTTCGGATGAGTCCGTAGAGTCGAGTGGCCCGTACCCAGAGCTTGTTGGCTGCCTCATGTACCTGATGACCTGCACTCGACCTGACCTTGCATACCCTCTTAGCTTTCTCGCACGCTATGTTGCTCCTGGGAGACACAGACCGGAGCACATGGCTGCAGCGAAGAGGGTGTTGCGCTACTTGTGCAGTACGTCGGGCATGGGGCTTGTGCTTGGAGGGCAGAGTCCAGTGGTCCTCACTGGGCACGCAGACGCTTCTTGGGCTGACGACCAGGCTACGCAGCGGTCGTCATAGGGTTACACCTTAAGCCTTGGTTCTCGCTCAGTTTGGTGGCGGGCTACCCGCTCGTCTTCTGTTCTCGGCTCCAGTTGTGAGGCTGAGATCTGCGCCGGGGCCATGGCTGCTCAGGAGCTTCGCTAGCTCACCTACCTGCTGACTGACCTCGGAGAGCCGCCTCGTTCTCCTCCAGTGCTGTACGTAGACAACAAGGCCATGCTGGCCTTGTGTCGAGAGCAGAGACTGGAGCACAGAACGAAGCACATTGCTCTTCGCTACTTCCTTGCTCGTGAGCTGCAGCAGCGTGGTCAGCTGCGTCTTGCGTACGTGGCCTCTGAGGCCAACACTGCTGATATCTTCACCAAGGCACTTGCGCATTGTGATCATCAACGCTTTTGTACTCAGCTGGGTCTTGTGCCTGCCTTGCCTCACTTGCTCACCTCTTGACCTTGCTTGTACTGTTACATATATATATACCCTGCTCTTGCTTGTCTAGCCTTATATATATATATATGTACTCCTGCATGTGAACTGGCCTTTTGGCCTTGACCTTGTGCTCGAAATGTGTGGTGACTTTGTGATCCACCCTGAGCTTGCTTTGCTTTGCTTTGCTTGACTGGTCTTGTGACCCCTTGTACTCCCCCACTTTGCCTATGGGGGTGTGTCAGAACATTATAGCTTATGCTTTTGTGTAGGCTTTAGTGGGATAGGCCGTATAGGGTACAACCCAATTAGGGTTAGTACTTGTACACAACTCTTTCATAGTGCATTCATTCTCGTTTGAGTTTTCTCAGTTTCCACTAGGCAAAGTCGAAATTCCAGAATGATTGAACAAGCAATGACAGAATGACTACATCAGGCACCTAGCAATCCTGCAGCTAGCCTGGTCGACCGCTAGCACAGCTCGGTCGACCGCCTACCAGCGTTGCGTAGAGGAGCCGCGCCAGCACTGCAGAAAGGCGACCTGCCAACAGAGCAGGTCGACGGCGTGCCAACGCTGCAGCAGAGCGGCTGTCCAGCGTTGCCCCGTAGAACACAACAGTGTGCACGCTCGCAGGTGCGCGCAGACGATTGGCCCGGCTTGCCTCGCTGAGCATCCGTCGGCAGTTGTCTGCGCCTGACGAGCCACAACGACTCCGGGATACCAGCCCGCAGTCGCCTGCGCCATCGCAACCTCGACGACGTTCGCGTGCCTCCGCAGAATTCGTCGAGCAGGTTACCCGGTCGACCCGGTCGACCACCAGGTGCTTTCGGTCGACCACCACTGCTTCTGGTCGACCACCAGGTTCCTCTGGTTGACCACCAGGTGCCTCTGGTCGACCGCAACTCCCGTCGAGCTACCCCCTGGTCGATGGACCCCTTTCGACTGCTCGGTCGACCTCCCGGTCGAGCAGCAGGTCGACGGGATGCTCTGGAGACCTCCCGGTCGAACGGCAGGTCGACGGGATGCTCCGGAGACCTCCCGGTCGAGGGGCAGGTCGACGGGATGCTTCGGAGACCTCCCAGTTGAATTGCAGGTCCTGGTCGACGTCCCACTCGTCGCCCAGACCAGTCAGTTGCAGCTGTCGAGCTCCCTGGTCGACAGCAGCACCACAGCGGTTCCCTGCAGCTCGACGAAGCCTGTCGAGCAGCTCTCCCACTGTGAACGGTCGGCTGCTACTCCCGTACATCCGACCAAGTCGTCGGCGTTGCCCAAGGGAGGGCGGGGCCAACACTCCATTCCTGTTAACAGGAAAGGGGTGGGGCGGAATGGAGTGGGGCGGAATGGGGTGGGGCGGATTGGGGAGATGGGGAAGAGGAGATGGGGGATGACGAGATGAGGGATGGGGAGATGAGGGATGAGGAGATGAGGGATGGGGAGATGAGGGATGGGGAGGTGTCGGATGGGGAGGTTTCGGATGGGGAGGAGAGGGATGGGGAGGTGAGTGGTGGGGAGGTGAGGGATGGGGAGATCAGGGAAGGGGAGATGAGGGATGAGGAGATGAGGGAAGGGGAGATGAGGGATGAGGATGTGAGGCATGGGGAGGAGAGGGAAGGGGAGTTGGGGGATGGGGAGATGAGGGATGGGGAGGGGAGGGATGGGAAGGCGAGGGATGGGGAGATCAGGGATGGGGAGGTGGAATGGGGTGAGGCGGAATGGGGTGAGGCGGAATGGAGTGATCGTTCGAGATGGGGAGATGAGGCATGGGGTGGGGAGGCATGGGGAGATGAGGGAAGGGGAGGTGAGGAATGGGGAGATGCGGGATGGTCAGATGAGGGATGGGGAGATGCAAGATGGGGAGCAGAGGCAAGTGGGGTGAGGGATGAGGAGATGAGGGATGGGGATGGGAAGAGGAGAGATGGGGGGTGGAGGGAGGGTTGGAGGAGGGATGGGGAGAGGAGGAGATGGGATGACGATACATAAAGAGAGGACGTGCGGTCGTGATTTGGGAGAACGGGAAGAGATGGAAAGGGAGAGCGAAGGCGCCAGTGTGCGATGGGAGGGAATCGGCCATGCGCCCCAAGCGGGGTGTGGCGGAAGGGAATGCGTGAAGGCGACGGGAAGGTCACGAGCGCTAACGACGGAAGGGAGAGCGCGCACACCACGGAAGGGAGTGCGCGCACACGACCGTAGGGAGAGCGCGTGGGCGACGGAGGGAGTGCGCGTGGGCGACGGAAGTGGAGCTACCGAGCGCGACGGAGGGGAGTGAGCTTGGCGACAGAGGGGAGTGTGCTGGGCGACAGAAAGGAATGAGGAAGGGCGAAAGAGGCGTCTCGCGAAGGCGACTGGAGGGGAGGAAGCGTGATCGCATGTCGGGAAGGAAGCGTGAGTGACGGGAGGGAGTGCTCATCCTCTAATGAGGGGTGTGCGCAAAGGCGACGGGAGGGGAGTGCGCGAAGGCAACGGGAGGGGAGTGCGCGAAGGCGACGGGAGGGGAGTGCGCGAAGGCAACGGGAGAGGAGTGCGCAAAGGCGACGGGAGGGGAGTGCGCGAAGGCGACGGGAGGGGACTGCGCGAAGGCGACGGGAGGGGAGTGCGCAAAGGCGACGGGAGGGGATTGCGCGAAGGCGACGGGAAGGGAGTGCGCGAAGGCGTCGGGAGTGGAGTGCACGAAGGCGACGGAAGGGGAGTGCGCGAAGGCGACTGGAGGGGAGTGCGCGAAGGCGACGGGAGGGAAGTGCGCGAAGGCGACGGGAGGGGAGTGCGCGAAGGCGATGGGAGGGGTGTGCGCGAAGGCGACGGGAGGGGACTGCGCGAAGGCGACGGCGACGATATAAATGGACGAAAATCTGTGCAAGGCGGAATGCTCTACCCTGGACAGAGAACCGGGCGCGGCTAGGAACAACCGCGACATCGATGCGCCTGGCGAAGGGGCAGTGAAACGGCGGACGACTATGGGCATATGCGCGTGAATGGGCATGGCTAGCTACGTGCAGTGAAAACGAGATGTAAGGCGCGCGGATCAGCAAGGGCGACTGATCCCGTCGGAATGGAGGAACCCTAAACCGGCGTGGAAGTCGGCGCGGTGAATCTCTTCTAAGCTATGACTTCCCCAAGTTTGGCCCTAAACTCTGCGTTTTTTGTCGACCTGAATTACAGATTTCGAGATAGGTGAGACCCCTGCGATCCTTCCCTACGCACCCTGCGACTTTCCTCACGTTTTGAAGGTGAGACCTGGTAACCACCCTGGTTCGGGAGGGAAGGTGTTAACACCTCCCAACTTTTTTTGTAATTCAGTCTGCGGGTTTTAAAGCTGTCGCCTACATACTTCCTGCGGGAGGACTTGGTTTATCACTTGAAAACCTGGTAGCAGAGGGCTGCGCTCCAACCTTGAGTGGCAAGATGCAGTAACTGCTTTGAGACAACCCAACCCCCCCTCTGAAAATTGGCCTGCTCAGGATGTGAAATTGAGAACGAGAATGAATGAACTATGAGCGAAGTGGGTACAAGTACTAACCCTAATTGGGTTGTACCCCCTATGGGATACCCCACTATAGCCTACACAAAAGCATAAGCTATAATGTTCTGACACACCCCCATAGGCAAAGTGGGGAAGAACAAGCGGTCACAAGACCAGTCAAGCAAAGCAAAGCAAAGCAAGCTCAGGGTGGATCACAAAGTCACCACACATTCCGAGCACAAGGTCAAGGCCAAAAGGCCAGTTCACATGCAGGAGTACATATATATATATATAAAAGGCTAGATAAGCAAGAACAGGGTATATATATATGTAACAGTACAAGCAAGGTCAAGAGGTGAGCAAGTGAGGCAAGGCAGGCACAAGACCCAGCAGAGTACAGAAGCGTTGATGATCACAATGCGCAAGTGCCTTGGTGAAGATATCAGCAGTGTTGGCCTCAGAGGCCACGTACGCAAGACGCAGCTGACCACGCTACTACAGCTCATGAGCAAGGAAGTAGCGAAGAGCAATGTGCTTCGTTCTGTGCTCTAGTCTCTGCTCTCGACACAAGGCCAGCATGGCCTTGTTGTCTACGTACAGCACTGGAGGAGAACGAGGCGGCTCTCCGAGGTCAGTCAGCAGGTAGGTGAGCCAGCGAAGCTCCTGAGCAGCCATGGCCCCGGCGTAGATCTCAGCCTCACAACTGGAGCCGAGAACAGAAGACGAGCGGGTAGCCCGCCACGAAACAGAGCGAGAACCAAGGCTTAAGGTGTAACCCTATGACGACCGTTGCGTAGCCTGGTCATCAGCCCAAGAAGCGTCCGCGTGCCCAGTGAGGACCACTGGACTCCGCCCTCCAAGCACTAGCCCCATGCCCGACGTACTGCACAAGTAGCGCAACACCCTCTTCGCTGCAGCCATGTGCTCTGGTCGGTGTCTCCCAGGAGCAACATAGCGTGCTAAGATGCTAAGAGGGTATGCAAGGTCAGGTCGAGTGCAGGTCATCAGGTACATGAGGCAGCCAACAAGCTCTGGGTACGGGCCACTCGACTCTACGGACTCATCCGAAGGCAGAGCTGAGAGTGAGTGGCGAGTAAACAGAGGAGTGGCCTGAGGCGAGGAGTACGTGAAGCCGAAGCGCTGAAGGACCTGCTGCACCATGTGTGACTGAGTCAAGGTAATGGTGCGGCGTGCTCTGTCCCGAGTGATCTGCAAGCCAAGGTAGCTGCGCAGTTCACCCAGGTCTGTGCACGTGTGTCTCTTCTGCAGCTCGGACTTCACGTAGGCGAGTCCAGCAGTGTCCGCTGTGGCAAAGTCCAAGTCGTCGACGTACACGAGGATGTAGAACGGCGGCAAAGAAGTGTCGGTGCGCAGAAACAACGACGGGTCAGCAGTAGAGGGAGCAAACCCAAGAGCCGCAAGCGTAGTCCTCAATGTGTCGTGCCACTCACGTGGTGCCTGGCGGAGACCGTAGACTGGCCGTCGGAGGCTCCACTGGGTGCCAGGAGGGAAAGTCCCAGTGAAGCCAGGTGGACGGCGCAGCCAGATCTCCTCGTGCAAGCTACACTGCAAGAAAGCAGTGCTGAAGTCAAGAGAGTGGAGCTCGTAGTCGCGCTGAGCGGCTATGTGCAGCAGCACCCGAAGAGTGGTCATCTTCGGGGTGGGAGAGAAGGTCTGAAAGTAGTCAACTCCCTGCCGCTGACTGAAGCCACGAGCCACGTACCGCGCCTTGAAGACAGTTGGAGAGCCCGGCGGCCGCTTCACCCTGAAGATCCACATGCCACTGACAATGTTCGCCCCAGGAGGGGGAACCGCGTCAACGTAGGTGCCTGTGGACTTCCAGGAAGCCATCTCTGCATCCATAGCTGCCTGCCACTGAGAGGAGTAGGGACCCTCTACGGCCTCTGCGTAAGAGCGCGGAGTCGGGATGTCTAGTGCATCCGGGTCTCCCTCAGGGGCAAGCAGTACAGACGCGAGATGAGGTGAAGCAGCAGCCAGACACTGAAACTCCTCCTGCCTGTCCTCAAGGACGTCCGTGCCAAGAGCACACTCACCCCCGACGGACGGAGGACAGACAGACTCAGACTCAGCGACAAGACTAGCAGCGTAGTCTAGAAGACAGCGACCAGCAAAGTCGACGAGCTCAGTAACTAGGGCAGACGCAGCAGTGGACTCAAAGGAAGGGTCAGTGATGACAGTAGCAAGGAGACGCGTGACAGTAGGACTGGCAGCACGAAGAGAGTCCGACTCCGGGTCGGCAAGAGTAGGAAGAGAGGACTCAGGAGGAGAAGGCAAAGGGGCACGCAGAGGGGCAGTGGTCGGACGCAGAGACATCCGGTGCGTGCCAGGGACAGGAGGAGGACGCTGACGCGAACCACGACCACTAGTGCGAGCAGGGCGGACAGGCGACACAGGGCGAGACGCTGGCTCACGACGCTCAGCAAGACCTCCGGTAGGACCAGTGTAGGGAGAAGGAGCAGGTAGCGGGGAGGCCAGCTGTAACTGTGACGGGACAGGCTGTGGACACTCTAAGTGAGGAGAAGGACCAGTAGAAGGCGGGAGACCAAGAACCTGCTGAAGGAGCGGAGCGAAGTACGGCCGAGGCCGCGCGGCGACTCCAGACACAGCAGGGACAGCACCAGCACCCCCAGCGGCAGCACCAGCGCCAGGAGCACCTCCAGCTCCAGAACCTCCAGCAGCACCAGTAGTACCCCCAGCAGGACCGCCTCCAGGACCGACAGCAGTAGCCTCAGCACCAACACCCTCAGCAGCTCCAGCTCCAGTCGCACCCGCAGGCCCAGCAGCTCCAGTACTCCCAGCATGAGCACCTACGGGATCCGCGGCACCAGCACCCTCAGAAGTCGGAGAACCTCCAGCTCCAGCAGCACGCCTCCAGCGCCGGGCAAACCACTCACGCAGCTCCTGTGGAGAGAGAGGATCCCGTCGAGACGAAGTACCCGGAGAACCTCCAGGCCCAGCACCGCCAGACGCCACACGAGTAGGCCCAACCCCCTCAGGCTCCGCACCTCCAGGCTCAGCACCTCCAGGCGTAGAACCCCCAGGCTCAGGACCCCCAGGCGTAGCACCCCCAGGCTCAGCACCCCCAGGCTCAGCACCCCCATTCGCAGCACCCCCAGGCTCAGCAGCCCTAGTAGTAGCACCCGCAGGCTCAGCAACCCCAGGCGCAGCACCCACACGCTCAGCACCCCCAGAGTCAGCACCCCCAGGCTCAGCACTCTCAGCAGCACCAGAGTCACCAGTAACCTCGACAGGCTCGACTGCGTCTACCTAGGACACAACTGAAGGGGCAGGACCCTGAGGGGGGAGAGGGTCTACCGGGGGGGGACCTGGTACAAGGAAGAGCGGCGGCAGGGGGAGGGACGGAGTGCGGTAGGGGAAGAGGCGGTAGTAGGGGACCGACTCGTCAAACGTGACGTCCTGGGAGGACAGAACACGGCGAGAGGTGGGGTGGTAGAACTGCCACCCTGGCGCGTCAGGGGGGAAGCCAAGGAAGACGCAAGGAGCAGCACGAGGGGACAGCTTGTCCGCAGACAAGTCGCGAACAAACGCCCGAGATCCCCAGACACGGAACGCAGACGCATCGCCAACCTTCCCCGTCCACAGCAAAGCTGGGGAGGTCTCCGGCCTGGAGACCCTGGGGTGAAGGTTGATCTGATGCGCCGCATACCGAACCGCAAACGACCACAGAAAATGGGGGGCAGCCGCATGCATCATGGACGTACGAGCGACATCCATGACCATGCCAATGCGGCGCTCAGCAATCCCATTTTGCTGTGGAGAGTCCGGAAGCGTGAAGGTCTGGCGGATGCCTCGTGCACAACAGTAGGCTCGCACAAGGCCAGAGGAGAACTCTCCTCCTCTGTCAGAGTGCAGGCGCAGAACAGGAAAGTCAGAGCCGAAGCTCTGCCTGAGCTGGAGACAAGCTGCGGGGATCCAGTCGATCAGCACCTCAGTGACATCACCCTTGCTGCGCAAGGGGAAGACTGTGGTGTAACGCGAGTAGTCGTCAACCACCAGCAGGAAGAAGCGCTCGTGACCCTGTCCACGGACGCGGGCCGGGCCCCACACGTCCTGCAGCGGGGCCTCTTTCGGAGGAAACTAGGAGGAGTGAGGGGCAGCCCGCTGCCGCCCCTCGACACAGGGGACGCAGGTAGGGCCAGGCCAAGGAGGAAGGGGAGGGAGGGACTGGGGAAGACCAGAGACAAGGACACGGGAAGCCATGCCTCGGAGACGAGGCAGGGAGGGGTGACCAAGACGGTGGTGCCAGAGGAGAGTCTCGTGAGACAGGAGGCGACACGAGCAGGGGGCAGAGTCAGGACCAGACCTGGACGCTGCAGCAAACACCTAACCCGACGCAGCTACCTGACCAGACGTAGTGACTGGAGGAAACGCAGTGGTCAGTGTGTACAGGCTCGACCCCGGCCGACGTGTAA